GGTCTATTTCTTTGGGGAGAATTCTGTCCTGGGCGCCAGAGCTTTAGCCTCTTGCTGCCCCTCTTTTCTCATGCATTCATCTGCTGATTTGTAATTCAGATTGCTGCTTCCTCTCTGCCCTCTCCCTTTCCTCTCCTCTCTTTATTGCCTTAATCTTGGCAGCAAGATTTGTGTGGGGACACAGCTGACTCAGAACCCTGCACCCTATGGGTGAGGGCGGCCCAGGGGCAGCTCTGTTCTTACCCCTTGTTTCTCTGATGAGGGAGCTGGCGTGGAGACTTTAACCGGCTAACCCAAGGTCAGAACATGGGGGGCTGTGATTGAGCAAGGTCAGAACATGGGGGGCTCTGATGAGGGAGCTGGCGCGGAGACTTTAACTGGCTTACCCAAGGTCAGAACATGGGGGGCTGTGATTGAGCAAGGTCAGAACATGGGGGGCTCTGATGAGGGAGCTGGCGCGGAGACTTTAACTGGCTTACCCAAGGTCAGAACATGGGGGGCTCTGATGAGGGAGCTGGCGCGGAGACTTTAACCGGCTTACCCAAGGTCAGAACATGGGGGGCTGTGATTGAGTTGGCACCTCAGCTTCTTGACCACATGTGCTACACTCGTGCAAGCTCCGTCCCTCACGGTGGTCATGCAGAGACCACACCTGGACTATAGGGAGAGAAGCCCACTGGTAAGCAGTCAATGGGGACAGGAGCTTGTGATGTGCCCTTTATGAAATGGGAGGCCCAACGGCTTCCCGGGAGGAAGCTTTCCCTTGCTCTTACTTGAAGCACTGGGACGGGGACAAGGACTTAAGTGAACTCAGAGTTTGCTTACTAGCTGTCCAGTCCAGGGTCAGTCAGTGTTTCCCCTTCAGTGTGTGTGTGTGCGTGCGTGCGTGTGTGTGTGTGTGTGTGTGTGTGTGTGTGAGTGTGTGCGTGTGTGTGCATGTGTGTGTGAGTGTGCGTGCATGTGCGTGCATGCATGCGTGCGTGCGTGTGTGTGTGTGTGTGTGTGTGTGTGTGTGTAACAGGATGCCCACTTTCATTCTCATCTTCAGTCCCCATCTTTCGTCACCTTCACCTCTTAGTGAGCAGTCACTGTGGACACGTGAGCTTTTTACCTATGGCATTTGCCTCCAGTCCTTAGACCCATAGGAGATTTCTTATTCTCCCCACTGTACATCTGAGAGACTACAGCTCAATGGATTATGCAGCTTGTTTCAAATCACATAAATACATAAGAGAAAGTGTGGCGCCCATGTGCCAGGGCCAGGCCTTGAGAAAACATGGGGTTATCTATTTTCAGATCTTATCAACAGCTTTGTGTAGACTCTACAGTCACAGAAAGCTTAACGCCACTTGCTTGTGTTATTAATAATTTTAGATTACCAGAACAATGAACATTTTCATAGCATTTCGTGACCCTTGCCATGGAATTTACTGTGGATTTCACAACTAAATATAGATTTTCTGTTTTCTTTGTTTTGCAGTCCATTCTTGGGGTTTTCACTTTGAAACATCTATTCATTGGCTGAATGTTATTATGTCAAATCTGTGGCCTATGGACTATCTATCTCAGATTAGGTAGAAAGGCATTCCAGTTTATTTGTAGATGACAGCTTCATGTCACAACCTCAAACCCAGGATTCTTCCAAACAGTCCCATAGGGGCTGCTATAGATTGTATGTTGAATGTGCATGTGCCCCAAAGACTTTGTGTTGAAGGGTTGATCCCCAGCCCATGAGGGATGCTAGTGAGGGGTCATGGAAACCCTTAAGAAGTAGAACCTGGTAGGGCGAAGTTGGGTTATTGTTAGTGCATCCTTGGAGGGAACGTGGAGGCCATCGTCCTCTGCTGTCTCTCAATATTGTTCTAGTATTTGCTCCCCGCCTTGACATAATACCTCATAAGAAGCCCCAAAACAAATGACCTGCATGACCATTAACTTAAGTCTCTAAGACCATGAGACCAAACAAACCTTTTCTTTCTGTAAGTCCATTCTCTCAGGTCATTTGTCGCAGCTATGGAAAGCTGATCTGATGCAATCGCTATAACCCTACAGGTCCTAGATGGTGGGGATGCCATTCTGTCTCCCAGGCTTAAGCATCAGTCCTTTAAGTTAAAATGCTCAGAGTCCTAACTTTGTAGGCATTGCCTCATTATTTCCTGAAAAGCAGTGCTGCTGAGGGTTGGACTGGGACTGAAGCCAGCTGAACAGTCTCCCTTTTGCTGGTGACTAGTCAGTTCTGCCTGGATGCTTGCTGGTCTTTCTCTTGAATGTCGAGGTTCAGTGCCCAAACCCGGAAATGTGAAGACATGTCACATTTACATCAACAGTTTTGCAGTATTTGTTTTATGGAACATCTCTTGTTATACTAATAGGTGGATGCTGTCCTTTATATATTTTTAGGAGCCTCCACCAAACATGAATAGCATTTCGTGTGTTCCTTCTATCTTCCTGCTTCAGGTTTTTTATTTTCCCAATGTCAGATCACCTCAGCTCTCCTCTTAAGGGTTTCTCCCCACTCTTTGCTCTAGCCTTTGCTTGCCCAAGGTTCTGCAGCATGGAGGTGGCAAAACGAGCCCTAGAACTCTTTGGCTGGTAGCAGTAATTAGATTTCCTTCTGTGCCTGCTCTCTTTCTCAGAGTATTTGCATTTATTGGTCCTGCACTGGTGTTCTGCGGAGCCCCATCTTTAAAATTTCTCTATTTCAATGCTTCATTTTATCATCTACTTTTTAGCTCGTATTTTATTAAATTCACACTAAATAATCCTGTAACATGAAGCCTATTTGGGTGGTATCCTTCTGTTCTAGTTGAAGTTTTCATTTTGTGTGTGGTGCTGGTTTTGATTTTGTGCCTGATGTGTTCCGTCCTTTTGTTCATTTATTTCTTCCTGGATCCTTATCTGCCTCCCTACAACCCTCACGGTATTTGCATCCTGGCTGATTACCTTGGTTTAGGATGAAACATATTCTTGTTCCCATTTCCACCGTATCTGTACCTGTTCACTTTTTCCATGGTGGACTGGGCGTTCCGTGTCTGTCTACTTTCCTTGGTCTGTGTGAGGCTGTGTGGAGGCAGAGCTGATCCGAGGCTGTGGATGCTTTTCATTAGGATGCTCAGCCTTTCTACCAAGTGCCTGGGCCTCAGAGGGGAATCTCACAACCCTTCTACCGAGGCACATGGGTTTAAGGACGAAGAGCCCGATTAACGGGCAACTAAATTAAGTGTTACATGACATAAGGCGGTACAGGGGGCAGATTTGCTCAGCTTACTCTGAGTAATAATTGAGGCAGTTTCATGTAGAGATGCTAAGGTATGAGTTCCAGGATTAGGCCAACTGTACAAGCTATCCTAGCAGCAATGTGAAAAAATGAGATGCACGTCTGAAGAGATGGACCAATAGCAAATACTTATGCGGGTCGCCTCCGCAAAGAGAAGATTTTGTCTATATCAGGAAGCTGAGACACTTAGGGATGTGAAGATTGATGAGTAAACAGACATCTCCACCACCACCCTTCTTGTCTTGCCCAACCTCAGTACCATTAGCTTCTAGGCAACACCATCCCTGCCAACCCTTTCCCCTAGTAGGTTTCCAGAGGCATGCTCTAGGGCCCAGGTGGCATGTCTGGGCAATGCATCTTAAAGCTGCTTTTTTTCTTTTCTTTTTGACAACCAAGTCAGGACCAATTACAGGGTCCTGTGCACAACAGACCTCATTAATGTGCTCAGCCTGGGATGGGCAGAAACTGGCAAAGCTGGGGAATTGACTTAGTCCCCACTAAGGAGCACTTGGGAGGAAGAGAGGAGAGTGCCATTGATTTCTGGGCTTCCAGTCAGTCTCCCCATGTGAGCACCACCTGAGACTCCTCACTGCCTCATCACTGAACTCACCCCTCTGCTCCACAGACACACAATGTGTCTTAACTTACCAAGCAGGTGAAGTTCCAACTATTGGTTCACTGAGTGCTTGGAGTATAGAGTGCCAAGTACTTGCCTTTTATTAATCTACTAGAGCTATGAAATGGTGTCAGTGTTGTGGAATAAGCATCTAAGGTTTCCTCAGATGGGGAAGGAGTTTGTCACTTGCCTGGGATCAGGGTCCTTAAGTGGAGAGAAAAGCAGACAAGATCTCTAGGATATTTATTTTCCCTCCCTCCCTAACTCCCCATCTCATAGCTCCATTATGTGTTCCAGTCTCGATTTGGTCTATCTCAAGACCTGGGTCAAGACATCCCTGTCCTTGGATCTTTCTCCCCTGATGCTCTAATTGCTGACCTTCTCTTCACGGATACAGGGCCATTGCAGGTTCTTTCTCGGCAGGTAGTCCTGGTCTCGGGTCTACCATTTTCTTACTAGCTACCCTTGGGTTCTTACCGCTCTTTCTTCCCTGGATTCGTTGCCATGGGAATTGTAGCCAAATACCAGGGCTTTTAAGGGAGAGTTGTCCATGAAAGGGCCACTTATGCAACAGATATTGGAGAACCGTCATCGTCCCAGGTGACAACAGTGGTGACACTGATACACTGCTGCTCTCAAAAAGACTACAGCACTGTCAGGGAGGCAGATGGGAGGCACCCCATTAGACAAAGCTCCCAGTGTAGACTGTTGTGATGACTCATCTTGGTGGTCAACTTTGACACATTTGGGAAGAAAGACCCTTAACTGAAGAACTGCCACCATCAGATTGGCCTGTGGACATGTCTACAGGGTAGCTAATAGATGTGGTAGGACACTCCCCATTCTGGGCAGCACCATCCCCAGGCAGATGGGACAAGGCTATGTAAGAACGGTAGCTGAATGTGAACCCGGGAGTAAGCTCGTAAGCAGCACTCCTCCATGGTTTCTGCTTCAAGGTCCTCCCTGTGACTTCCCTTGATGATGGACCGTAACCTGAAAATGAAATAAACCCTTCTCTCCCCAGATGCTTTTGGTCATGGATTTTTATGATGACACAACAAAAATAACAACAAAGTAAACACAGGCAGCTGTGATTTCCATCTTTATGAAGGATGCAGGCAAGTTTCTCAGATAGTACAGGAGAGGCTTTATTCAGCCTTGAAGATCCACAGAGGCCTTCTAAAGGATGGGATGCTTCATTTCAAGTCTGATTAATGAGGAGTTGTTCAGATGAAGAATGGTCCAACGAGGCTGCAAGCAGGTGTAGAAGGCTGATATGGAGGAGCTGGTGTTGCTTCACAAACAGCAGCGAGGCTGATGCTCCTGGAGACGAAGCGGGCATGAGTCTGGGGTTTGCACAGACCTAGAGCCAGTAAAGCCTCAGGGCCCAGGGAAGGGAGAGAAGATGTCCTTCTGGGTGCTCTGGGAGCTGCTGAGAGTGTAGTGGGTGACCCAGAACGGGTGCGATGGGCCTGGATGGTATTTTTGGGAAATGAACGGAAGATACCAGACTGGAAGGAAGGCCAGAGAGAGTTGGGCCCTGTTGTAGCACTGGCGGTTGGGATGGTCGCAGAGACAGGGAGGAAAGATGGAAGGATGGAGCCTTGTTGTGGAGGTAAACTCAACACGATCTGGCAGTGAGTTGTCAGGTGTGGGTTTCTCAAGTGGTCAGGGTGCCGGGGAAAGCACAGAAGGAGGCATGTGTCCAACACAAAGCGTAGATAAGCGATGCGGACTGCTTGGAGGCTGGCAGTACCGCATCCTTACCTGAGAAAGCCTTGATGAAGGTGGTAGGGATGTGTAGACCAGGGTTCCCCTGGGAAACCTATTCAGAGTGACAGGCCTTTGGTGGGCCTGTCGAGAACTATTTGCCTAACACTTGGAGCTCGGGGAAAATATCTGAGCTGTTGGGATCCTTCACTTACAGTTAGGCACAGTCATGAAAGAAACCAAGGTACGAACCAGCAAAGAGGTGGATGAGAGCCCAGAGTGGGAAGAGGAACCAAGAGAGGGGTTCTGGACTCCAGGAGCTAGGAACATTTGTTGTGGAATAATCCTTTACACCATGTGAAGATATGTCACTGTGATTGGTTTAATTAAAAGCTAAACGCCCAATAGCTAGGTGGGAATTTGGGGGCAGAGAGAATTCTGGGAAGAAGAGGAGTAGAGATGTGACAAGTCATGAGGAGACACAGGGGATAAGGAGCAAGCAACGTGGACTTACAAAGTAAAGGAAGCCAAGGCACCTAAAAGAATGTAGATTAAATGATGTGGGTTAATTAAAGTTACAAGATCTAGTTAGAAACAAGCCTAAGCTATCAGCCAAGCTTTCACAATTAATAGTAAGTCTCTGTGTCATGATTTGGGAGCTGGCTGGAGGGACAGAGAAAAACCCACTAACAAACATTTTTAAAGCTCTTTTTCGAGCTTTACCCGGTGAGTGATCGTTGCTCAGGGGGCGAGGAAGATGGATGAATCCAACGGTAGCTCAGTGCTGGGAGCCCAGTAGGTGCTCAATTAATGGTAGTTCCATTCCGTTAACATGGCTCTTCCTTCACTCCTTCTTTGGCTTTTGAATGTACACAGGCCTTTCCCTTCCTTCCAAGTCTGTTAAAAGCTTAAAAAAATAATAGACAGATGAATATGTAGAGAAAGTAAATGGGTGAGTGCCCAGTGCGGCTGTTACTGCTGAGCCCCAAGGTGTCTGCAGCCTGGAGTACTGGTTTCATTCCAGAGCTAAGCCATGCAAAAGTTTCCTGGGAGCCAATGGCTCTTGTTTAGCAGAGAGCCCTTGGGGAACCGGTTTTCAAGCTTGTCAAGCATCCTGCTCTGAGAATCACCAAATGGGTACCCCAGCCAACCATGTAGGGAGCCGCCTTCCCCAGCAGGTCTCTGGAGTCCCTGGTGCCCTCCCTCCCCAAGTGGTGTTGACTGCACTGTAATCACACAATTAGGATGCCATTAAAATGTCACATTTGAAGAAATCCATATAAACAGAGCATTACCAAGCGACTGAAAATTGTAGTCTTTACCACTAATGACCTACTTTCTGCACATGCCACGCCCCCCACCACCACCTCTGCTCACTGCCACCTTCCCCAGCCTTGGTTTCAGAAGCAGCGAGGAAACGTGACTGCCTTCTCTGCCCGGAGAGCCTTAATGTGTAATGTGCTGGGAGAGGCTCTGGGACAGAGCCAGAGATTGCCAGGCCGGGGGTGGGGGTGGAGGGGCATAAGCCAGCGTTGAGTAGCTTAGGGAAGGAGGCCAGTTTCAGGGATGCCCACACCCCAACAGACCCGGGGTTCTGGGAGGAGTGGCAAGAGAAAGGCTGGTCCTGGGGAGCATGAATAGAGAGCCGCGCCTAGCGGTGTTGAGAAATGTGAGGGTTGGGTTCATCTTTCTTCCCTCGGGAAGGAGAGCTGGGAGCTGACACACCTTAGTCACTCATGCGGAAGAACAAAATACTAGGAAGGATGTGTCTTGAGAGGAGGTGAGCCACAGAGCTCTGCCTTCCTGCTGCTGTGAGGACAGAGGTGGACAGAGAGGTGAGGGTCACCTCATTTCCCTGGATACAGCTGAGGAAAAGCGGTTCGGGTGCCGAAGTTTCTTTGTCTCTAGAATCTAATTTTGATGGACTAAGGAAATGGATTGCTTAAAGGAAACTTGTAGCGAGTTCCTTTTATAAAGTGAAACGTATACCAGAGCTTCCCTGGTGAAGTCATTACTCTCTTGCATCTAAATAGCAAATCTGCACTCCATAGCACACTGTACTGGGTGATGTGTCTCATTCCAGGAAACAGAGAGAGAGCCACTGTGCGGGGTGGTGGGGGGGGGGAGTTGAATTAGCATTCTGGGGAGTCCATTTTAAATGTCCCTCTAGCCCATGACATCCCTGCCACAACTAGGGATGGCGTTACAGAAGGGCCTGTCCCACAGGGGCTTTGGGCTGACAAGCACGCCATTTGGGGAGAAACCACTGGTGCTTCCCAGGGTAAGGGAGATGCCCCTGAGAATGTTGTTTATGTAAGCAGTGTGTCATAAATCCTCTTTTGACAGTTCATATGAGATATCCTGGAAGGGTTTGGCTGTGCTGGGGAGATGTTCAGTGTTTGGGACAGGCTTATGAGGCTGTCTCTCCATTTTTCCGCTTAGTGCCACTATCACTTTGGGTACCACTCACCTGAGACAGGCATCCCACCCCCTCCAGACTCCAGGCATGCTGCCTGGGAGCTGCCGGTCCACTTTTGACATAAAAAAAGCCCCTTTTATGAAAAGACGCCAGTAGCCCTCCTGGAATCCCACGAGATAAAGTCGTTTCAAAGTCATTCTCTGCAGCCCACAACTCCATATGCAGCAGCTGGCCTAGTTTCGAGGGAGCCAGAGGGCATCTGGATGTCACCTTATTTACAGAGCTGAGAAAAAAATGCACTAGGCTCTAAGCCCTTGCCACACACGGTATCTCCGGATATCTGTCTTCCACTTCGGAGGCACAGAGAGGGGACACATTCTGCTTAGCTCAGAGCTGGAGGAGGTCTGCTAATGTCACCTTTGGGGAATGTATAACAGGACGCAGAACACACTTGACTCTGACATTCTCTTTCCAGCTGTGTTTCAGGGAGGGTCCTTCGCCCTGTGGCTAAGGGGAGGTGTCTCCAGGGCAAAGCTGAGCTTTTGCCTAGCACCTCCGCCCTCTGCCTTCTTTTTACTACAGGATTCCTACTCGGGTGCTGGTCAAGGAAGCCTCCTTTAGTGGGCAATGCTGGCCCTGATAGGTCCTGGACAAGGGCAGTCATGGAGTCTACATCCCTGCGGTTAGACCCAGTGCCCCAACTAACTTGCTATGTGGCCTCAGCCTAGTCATTCTCACTCCGGAACACTCAGCTGCCTCTTGCTTAAAATGAGGTAATAGTACCCAGCCCAAGCTTATTCTGAGTACTTGAAGGAGTGGCATTTTTAACTAGAACTAAGCATACAGAAAATGCTATGTAAGAATTTAATGGTTTCTGCCAGTGTCCTGTGTGGGATTCCACCCAGTAGAGAATTCGTCACCGTTGGAGCCCAGTCCTGTTGCTTGGTGTCCCACAACTTCCCATCTTGGTTTCTCCCACCAGAGAAATCTTGCTGGGTGTGGTGGTAAAAGCGTGGAGCCCCCAGGCACTTGGAAGATTGAGGCAGAAGGATGGAAGGTTGAGAGCCAGCCTGGGCTACAGAGTGAATGCAGAACCAGCCTGGGCAATTAAGTGAGTCCCAGTCTCAAAACACACACACACACACACACACACACACACACACACACACACACACACACACGCAGGTTCACACATGCATGTGCACCCATACACACATACTAAAATAAGAAAATAAGGGTTGAGGGTATAGCTTTTACTTGGGATTCAGTTCTCAGTAACACACCTGCTCAAATGCCTGCGCACTCGCACACACGTGCGCGCACACACACAGATGTGCATGCACACATGCACACATACACATACACACTTTGCCTGACAATAACTTTGAAGGAAACTTGGGGAACTGCAGACCTTTCCAGCCACCTCCTCGGTGAACATAGCTGTAGGCCTGTACATGGCAACCCCATCCAGGGAGCCCCAGCATGACGCCATGGAGCTAACAAGTCCACTGGGATAAAGGAAACATGAATACAAGCATATAGCCCTGAGTCCAGGCCCCTTGATCTTCAGCAAACTCAGGGTCCCAGGCATGCCCAGGCTTCTCTCTGATGCTCGTCTTTCCCCAGAATCATCCAGCATGGCCCCATCATTTTTTTTTATCCCCACGTATATAAAAAGACTTAGCACAAAGCTCAGTCCCCAGCCTTCTGAGCTGATAATAACCTCATATATTAGTTTCTTAAAATAGTTTCTTGTCTTATCATTTACCTGGCACTGTGGTCAAAGGTCAAATCCAAGTTTGTGGTAGAGAGTTGAGCCCTAGGACTCACATTAATAATGGCCACTCCCCAACAGCCGGACAGTGTGGGTGCCATCAGAGACCCCACAGGGAAGGAGGAAGAAGTAAGCAGAAATTGGCTGAATGTGAATTGCATTTTTCTTCTCCCCATTAGCATTCAGGCTCCAGGAGAAATAATAGTAACCACAGCTATGTTGACAACAGTACTATGTTACATATGCATTATGCTTTGCCAAGTGACTTTTCATATCTTATCTCATGTCTGAGATCTGATTGGGTCCTGTAAAGCGGGGCTGGGGAAGATGAGTTGTGCCCTTGGCATAGAGAGAGACAGTAGCTACACAGGGAGATGAAGGAGAACCGTGTTCGGGATAGCCTTGGTCTACTGCATAGGGTGCTAAGTCAGCTCTATCGCTGGACTGCACATCACCGTTTGTCATCCTCCCTGCCCGCTTCCTCCAGTCTGCCTTCCCGTCTAGAAAAATCGGGTTAAAATGAACAAGAGGACACAGCTCTTCTCTGCACCTTTCCTACTGGTTTTGGCTTTCTTGACCCCTTTCCTTTTATTCCATTGATGTCAGCCTGTGTGTGTGTTTCATTTAAATCAAAGGGAGGCTTAAACCACATAACTAGGCAGGTGTGCAGTAACGACAAGACCCACCCCACACTGCTCACTCACATTTCTGCTCCTGGTGACCCTAACTCTGCTCATTCCTGACCTCTACCAGGTACTCTGGTTCACCAGGGCCCCTGGAAAATTGCTTGGCCCTGCAAGCAATTTCTTGCAGCCGACGGCTTTCTGACGATGCCTTAAGATATCTGCTGGATCTTTGCAGCAGGCTAAGGAGGGGTGAGAAGCCTGAATTTTTTTTAAAGGGAGAGCTCTTTTCTCACTGAGAAGCTCAAGTTTTCATTTTTCCTTTTATCCTTCCAGAAGCAGTTTTCAAAAGACTTGGCTTCTGACTGGGAGACCCAGCCCCGCCGGAGGCTACTCTGGCTTTGTTGCCAGGCCATCCTGGGAGAATCTGTCCTCCTCTTCCCTCACACCTCTTTTCCTGAAAGGAAAGCCATCAACAGCCTTCTGGAGCCATCTCCATTCTGATGCTGTGACCTTATGCCCTAAGTAGCTCAGCTGTGTATCCCAGAAAAAAGGGCGTGTCTACATCCTCCAGCTCCACAGGGCAGGCAGGAGGCTTATCTTCCAGGCTGCCTTCACACACACACACACACACACACACACACACACACACACACACACACACACCTGCTTTCAGTCTCTTCTTGGTCTCTCCTGGGAGCTGGCTCCTATCCTTCGTAAACACTTTTCTCCAGTCCCAACCTCCTGTGATGGACAGGTCAACTCTCCTGACTCAGGGGCTTCCCAACTCCCAGTGGACAACTCATTGCATAGGTCTCTATACAGAAAGAGGAGTCCCGGTTACTGGATGGACACCAGACACCTAGCAGAGTCAGGTCTCTCTCTGATGTCTGTCAGCAGCTGGGATGCATTCCTCAGCTAGGTGACACCCAACTTCCGGTGATTGGCATTTACGGTCCTTGGAGAGCAGGAAGCAGACCCATCAGCATTTGCCATCACATGCCTTGGCATGTGCCAGGAGGCTTTCCTCTTTGGCATCATACTGACTTTGACTTTGCTGGCACTCCCCCCCTGCCATGCTAATTAGGAAGCAAATTAAACTCCATATAGGGTCCACATTGTGTGAGTACACCCCCCGCCCCCGCCCCCGCCCCCGTTCCAAAAACAAAAACTGGGCTTCTATCCATCCAGCTAATCATATTATATTTCACATTTGGAGTTTTTCAGCCAATTACAATAATTACTGGAAGTTTTCTACTTCCTGGAAGCTGGAAGCGTCCTCCAATATTGTGTTCCCATGTGGTGTGCAGTTGAAATGTGGGCAGAGAGCCCGTAGATGGAGGGCAGCCATGGGCAGGGGACAGTAAAGAGACTGCTCCTGTCACATCAAGTGAAGACAAGCCACTTGCTTGTTGGAAAGGGGTCTAGACTCAGTGTCCCCGTTAGCTTATGCCCCCCCACGACAGGCTCAGAAGTTTGAAACCCACACCACCTGTGTTTTATAGAAAGTAGCTGGTCTCATGGTGGTGAGGGAAAAAGTGATTAAAGCGATTGGAAGAGGAGGTGCAGGAGGGTAAACTCACCCCTGTTGAGTCATATGCTACCTCATTTGGTCTGAGAAATAGCCCTCCCTCCTCGATTATATGTTCACTCTGTCTATCAGCCCTTTAAGGGGTGATACTCCTATAATTAAAATTAACCATTAAGCTATAACATTGAAGGAGCAATTGCCTAATTTTGAGGAAAATTTAAATTTATGGCCAGCACCTGAGATAAAATGGATACTAAGGAGAAGAGAGAAAACCCTGTGGAAGATAAATAGAAAGCCAAGAGGGATATTGGCTTGATCCTTCTCCAGTGCAGGGTAATTTGGCTTCTAAAGTGAGTTAGATCATAATAAATTAAATTTAGATTTCTGCACATCAATTAAATAACTCCCAAGACAGAATTCCAGGGAGGAGAAGAGGTGATAATACATGAAGGAAATATGAAAATGAAGATCTGATCTAATAATCTATAATTGATGTGCTGTCCCTTGGTAAGGATTTTCCAGCTCTTACCTTTGTCAGGTGAGCCAGGCTGGCTGGCCTCTACTTGATTGGAGCTTGTCCTCACCATTGGCATGAATGTGTTCCCCATAGTGGTTTCCTTTCAGGGCCATTCCCTGTGTTCAGATTCACATCAGCGATGTGGAAGGCATGGGGGATTGTGCTGTACCTCTTCCCTCCACTGGCTGTCCTTGCAAAAGCAAGGTCACTTCCTGCCGGCTGGATGAGAGCATAGGAATGAGTCAGTCCTTTCGTATTTTTATGAGGGGCTGACTGACAGGAGAGAGAAAAGACCAATGTTTAAATAGTACATCTATTGATATGGAAGAGACACCAATGTTGACACAAGAAGTATTAGATGAGGACCATAAGGCCCTAGGTTCAACCCCATCCCAACACACACACACACACACACACACACACACACACACAGAGAGAGAGAGAGAGAGAGAGAGAGAGAGAGAGAGAGAGAGAGAGAGAGAGAGATGCACAGGTTCCGTCTGAGAGTCTTAGCAGTGTGAACCTTATAACCTCTGTTTTCTTGTCTATAAAATGGAAACAATATAACTGGCCCACCTGCTTCTAAGGTTAAATTAATCGTTATTTTATTATTATACAAGTGAAGGTACTTACCATGCTATCAGCATTTTTCCTTGTCCTGTGTGGTACTGACTTTCATAGATTATACCTTTCAGTGCTCAAAGTTCTGTTTGATCTTTTTAGGATATATCTGGCCATTTGTTTCATTTATTTTTCATTATTTTTGCTACTCTTAATTTCCATTTTATGTATAGTTGTGCCTGCGCTGAATCTCCAGGTGGTGGTGTGTTCTCTGTGGGATGACTCCTGTATCTGGAATCCTTGGAGGATCTCAGTGTGCCAATAGTTTGTGCTGCTTTTGCCGACAATGGTGATTCTCTCTCTCTCTCTCTCTCTCTCTCTCTCTCTCTCTCTCTCTCTCTCTCTCTCTCTCTCTCTTTGTCTCTGTTTTTCTTTCTTTTCTTTTTTTTCAGTTTATTCATCAGCAGAACCTTGTTGGAGTCCCAGGGTCTAAACGACAGCTTTCTCCCAGCTAGGATGTGCATTTCTGTCTCCTGAGAATCAAGAGAATCCCCCATCTATACTCCTTCATCCCCTTCTTAGGCTTAATTACATCAGAATGGACTTCAGTCGTACATCTTTTGGGAGCCAAGGTCTAACTTCTCAGAGATCTTTAACCTCAGGGCAACCTCATATTTTCTCCTAGTTCAATATTCAACTACACCAGCTCTACTAGCCGCAGCTTCCTGTATGCTCCCTAGCCTCACCCCTCAGTGAGTAGAGAACCCACAACGCATCCCAAACTGAAGTGGTGGTGGCTGATTGGTTGGCAGGAAGGGTTCCCTGGAAACATCTGGAAACAGCAGCACACAGTGGATGGGAAGGAGAGCTGGCCTGGGGACCAGAGGGCTAAAGAGCCAGGAGCTGTGTTCCTGGAAACAGCCAGGGAGTGAGCAGGTGTGGGGGGGGGGGAGGCTCCATTTCCCTACAGCTGGCTTAGAAACAGTGTCTATTGAGATGTGTGGAGTTAGGTCAAGCTTGGAGAACATACACCTACAAACTTAGGCAGATCATTCATCCTCCCGTGTCTGTTTCCTCGTTTGAAAACCAGGGCTATAATTTCCTTTGGGATTAACTTGAGGCACTCTCCATGCAGTGCTTCCCTCTGAAGTTGTCACAAGAGGTGCTGTGAAAGACACAGGGTTGGAGGACTTGTTTGAACACAGTCGTGGATGTTTCTCCAAAGGTGGTTTGGAATGACAGTGGCATTGAAATTGGTGGACTGTGAGTAAAGCAGATTCTACTCCAAGATGTGGATGGGCTTCAACCAGACAGCTGAAGGCTTTAGGAGATGAAAACTAGCCTTTCCCTCTCCCAAAAAGAAGGGATTCGACTGCCAAAGGCTGCCATTGGCCTTAGGTTATAAGCTGTAAGTACATGAGCTATTTCCTTAACACGGGTTTGTTCCCTATCTCCTTCTCTCCTTCCTGAGAATGAGACAGAGACAGACAGATGGACAGTCAGACATATGGATGGAGACACAGAAGACAGACAGACAGACAGACAGACAGGTTCTGTTTTTCAGGGAAGCCTCATCTGACGCAAGAATGCATTCAAGAACCAGCAAATTGGAGGTGGCAAGATAGATAGCTCAGTGAGCAAGTGCACTGGCTGCTCTTGCAGAGGACCCAGTTTCGATTCCCAGCACCCACACAATGGCTCTCAACCATTGTAACTCCAGTTCCAAGGGATCTGATGACCTCTTCTGGCCTCAACTATCACACATGTCACACACACACACACACACACACACACACACAGAGAGAGAGAGAGAGAGAGAGAGAGAGAGAGAGAGAGAGAGAGAGAGAGAGAAGCAAAAGATTCACACACATAAAATAAACCTAAAAGAAATGTTTAAAAGGAAGCAGCAAAGATGGGAAACTGGGCATTGGTGCAATTACTTGGGCAAGCAGACATCTTCTAGTATCTAAGGCAAGCCTTGGGTCAAAGCTACACCGAAGAACATAAAATTGCCCAAGGATAAAGTGGCGACACCTAGGGGCTGGAGGATGGTGGAGTAGACCACACATGTCTATGTATGAATGCTGTAGAGTTCAGCTTGCTTGCAGAGATAAATCTGAGATGGGATTCTCATATAACACAAGTAGAACAAGACATACCTACTACACATGGACAGAGGAGACAAGGGAGGTTAGCTATGGCCTTGCACACAGTTGCCATCAGTTGCCACTAGTAAGACATGTGCAACACCAGGTACTAGTCATTCTGCTTCCATCAAGTGTGAGAAGCCAGAGACAGGGACCTTTTAGAAGCATTTTTAACTCTGCAGCAGTGCCTAGATGGGGTGAAAACCCTCTCCTACCATAACTTCCTGCTCTGGCTCTGCACTATACCTTTCTAAGGGGAGCTGTCTTCCTTGAGAATGGAGAGAGTGGAACAAGAAGGATGAAATAAAGTATAAGTGGAATGGAATTTAGTAGAATATCCGTCAGTGCACATTTAATGTGGAAGTAAGCCATCATGGAGGGCACGGTCCCAGTGCAGAAGGCTTTCCGCAGGCTCTGACTTTGCTGAACCCATTTTGGCCCTCGGTATGTGTTTTACCCCCTGTCGTCTCTGTCTGTGGAGGTGGCAGCTTTTGCAGTTGGATTAAGTTGGTGAACCCATCCCTTGCAAGCTGATGAGCTTGTGCAAGCCACCTACAGACTTCTCTAAGTAGACCCCTGCATGCACAGATGGGGATCGATTGCTTAAGGAATCTGTGACAATCCGTGTGCACATATATAACATAAGATGTTACTGTTATCATTTTGGAGACACCTTCAGCATTATATAATGCATTCAGATGTCCCTGTGGGAAAGATGAGTACAGGCTGTCCCCCTTGAGGGGTCTCAATGCAGCAAGCTGTGAATGAACTCTATACCTGTGACATCTAAGCATCCTGAGAGGAACAGTCCCCTTCAAGGCTCCCTCCTACTGACTATTCATATGACTTACTCTGCCAGCTGGCTGCTGCTCTCACATTCTGGGGCCAGAACTCTAGCTGAATCTTCAAGGCACCTTCTCCATGAAGACAGTCCCTGCCAGAGATACCAGGGATGCTAGCTGCCCTGTGGGTGGAGAGAGCCAGGCCAAGAAACCTCTGGCCTCCTGCCCTCATGGCTCCATGCCTCTGCTTGATGCAAATGGAGTATGGCCTGGAATGAGACCCAAGAGGTGGGTTGCACCCTTGACCCCAGCCTCCTGTTGCCATGGGTGCCTAGTCCTCCACCTGCTTGTCCAGGCGCAAGACCGCACGCAGTTCAGACATCAGGATTAGTCAAGGTCATTGCCCAACTGGTCATTTTGTGGAAATTTTCATCCTTTCATCCCTCATATATAGCCAGAATCATTTTCCCTATGGTCTATTTTCTAAGACTCAGCTGTTGTCCAGACTTTTCCTTTATGCATATCCTCTGGATAGTTCATTTTATACCAACAGAACTGGGCCACAGGGTGCTCAGGCATTTGGTCAAATATCATTTTTGGGGGCGTGACCAACAACAGATCTTGTCAACCTCATAAGTACACTGCCGGTCGATGACTCAGAACCTCTCCCCATTAGTTCCCGGGGAGAAAAAATACACACTGAGTCGGGAGTCTGTTGAAGCAGGATCTCAATTCATTTCAACAGGCAGGAGCTTATATAGGACTGAGGTAGGGATGGGAATCTTAGGGTAGGGTAAGGTGACGTGAGGAGTTAAGGGCCAATAGTATTCCACCAAGCAGGCAGGTAGCTAGGCAGGGGGCAGTCTTGCATCAGGTCTGGCTGAGTCACCCCCACCCCACGTGGAGGTCACAGGTTAGAGACAGGTCACCAAACGCTAGCCAGGCTCAGGAGGTTACACTGGGCCTCACATCCGAGCCTTTCTTACGTCCAACAGTACACAAGCAAATTCTTTATAATAATCTATGGACATTCCCCTTTTTTCAGTATTAAGGATTGAATAGAGGACGCCCTATGAGGTGCAGCCAGCCTCATAGGTCTCAGATGTCTGTGCCACCAAGCCTGGTTTTATAAATTCTTGTACGCACGTGGACACTATGGTTCTGTTTTTCTACTCTACACTCATTTATCTGGTTTTCTTTGCTACGCATTCCCTACCCATTCTTCAAGATCTTTTGACACTTATTCTAAGAGCTATTCTCTGTTTCCTTCATTCCTCTGAAAAAACACATTGTCATTGAGCTTATGTGGTTGAATTCACCTTGTGCTGTGGTACATATGTTCCTGAGTGTGTGTCTGTGTTTGTGTGTGTGTGTGTGTGTGTGTGTGTGTGTGTGTGTGTGTGTGTGGTAATACACAGGCAGGATCTCTCTAGGTCAGTGACTATTGTCTGTTCAGCTCAGAGCACTGTGAGGGTTACAGCTTCTTTAAGAGAATCATAATAAATTAAGTTGGCAGTGAGCCAATGGGAGACAGTTCTACGACCCTTCCCATGAGGATGGGATGTCAGGGTTACCCTGGGGTGATGTTCTCACCAGGGGTGACAGCTGTCAAGCTGTGACATTGCACAGCATGGGCTGTGGGTTTCCCACGCCCACCTAAATTCCCCCAGCATGTTCTGGAGCAGCAGTATCATAAGACAGTAATAAAATCAATTATTGGATAAAAATCGCCTGTTTCCAGCGCTTCATTTTATGCTATTAGAGGAAAATGCTGTTTCAAACAGAGATAACAAAGAGGAATAGAGAGATCAATTACCAGATAAAATCTCACAGTGCCTGAGATGAGCATACAGACTGGTATAGCCCCTCTTACCTGTCACGGGGCCTATGCAACTGTCACTAAGCCTGTCCTATACCTCCTGCTTGGGTGTCTGTGTCTGTGTGCAGAAAGAGCTAGAATTCTGTGACAGAGTAGCTGGTCTCGTCTCCCTTAAGATTTCTGCAGTGTGAGACCTTGCTCGTATGCATGGGCAATTTCTGCTTGATAACAGTGCCAACCCCAGAACATCAGCCATCCCATTTGAGGCCATCAAGAAATTCTCGGAGGTACAGCATTTGTGGTTTAGATGGAATTGACAGGTTTGGGTGTTTGGGAGTATAGACTACTCCTTCTCATGGTAACATCTCTTAAGAAGTGACTGTCAAGTGTGAGCATCCAGCTTGCCAAGGTCCAGGCCAGGATGCTCAGCCCTGCTAGCTGGATAGCAAGGCTGTGGATTTGGTGCTGGTGGGGTAGACCAAGCATCATGGGCTCTGATGGTAAAGCAGCCCTTCACCTCTCCTGCCAGAAGAATCCAGAAGACTAAGCTTTACCTCGAGACCTGCCACTTGCCAGACTTGTGGACTTTCTAGGGTCCTTCTTCTCTGCTCTGCCTGGAGAGCCTCGAGCATGAAAATGGAAGTCACATTCCATATTCTGAAGTCCCTTGCTTTCATACATACACAGTGAGGCCTATTATCCACTCTCCAACCAATGTTTCCTAAGAGTGGCCACAGGGCCCGGGGTTGGACTAGTAGGTCAACACGCCATTATTGATTGATGACCTATGTCCTGAAGCTGCCTCTGCTAAAGCACAGAGGAGAGAATAGTCAGTGTGGCCCATCTTGTCTGTACCACTGCACAGGATGGATGTTCTAACGTCATCCTGGGAAGATGGTCTCTTGGATCCAGGGTACCAGAATGCAGGCCCAGGTCCTGCTACTTCCTAAGTATGGATCTCGGGCAGAGAGCTTATGTGAGGCTGAATTCTCCCCGTTAAGTTGGAAATCTGAGCAAATGTGTGAGGTTTGCACGAGATCATGAGAGCTGCGGTCCTAGGACAGCACCTGGTATGTGGTGCTCCAGGAGTGGCAGGAGCAGTATTATTCTGTAGCTGACTGTCATTGCTGGTCTTTTGTTGGTATTCTGCCCCTGGTCTCCTGTCTCAGCTCAGCATTGCTAGAACAAGCCCAGTCTCTGGTTGGCTGCCGACAGATGGATGGGAGCTAGCGGTGAGCGAGGGGGCCTTCTCACAGACTTTCCATTCATGTCACACAGCCTACTGATGCGGATTGGGATGACCTGTGGGAGCAGTTTGATGAGCGGCGGTATCTGAATGCCAAAAAGTGGCGCGTTGGCGATGATCCCTACAAGCTGTACGCTTTCAACCAGCGGGAGAGCGAGCGGATCTCCAGCAATCGGGCTGTCCCAGACACACGCCATAAGAGGTACTCCCTCTTCTTCCCATATAGGTACCTTACCCTTCTCTGTGGCCAGGACAGATCAGCACAGGCTCGATTTGTGGGCCCATGGTACTTAGCACCCAGTGCCAGGAGCTGGGACAGGTGAATCAGTTTCTGCCAACGGACACTGAAGTGACATGATGGAGTGATATATCGGTGCTACTCACTGCTTATTGCCACAAGTCACACCACAGACCCTGCTTTCTACTTGGAGGCTGCGGAGAGTGAGAGGCCCGCATACAGGGTGCACCTGTCCCTTACTTGGTGAGCGTCCTTGGTGCTGTATTCTATAATGCTCGTGGAACATCAACAGGCTTTCCCTGGCCAAGTCCCATGGCCCAGCCTGGCTTTCTAGGTGGAAGGACACGATGGGACACCCTCAGGAACCCAGATCACTGTTTCTTCTGTCACTAGGAGAAGTCCTTTCTGTAGCAGCCCATGAGCATTTTGCCACATGAGAAGAAAATCTGAGGGGTTTGACATTGACATTTGTTTCCCATCTGCCTGCCTAGGGGCCATTCCCACAGTGATGCCACTGGCTTGGATAGGCCACAGCTCTGGAAGGCGACAGAGAGCAGGCCTAACCCAATGTAGGAAGCTTAGTTTCCACACAAAGGACTTGTGGAAATGGGTGCTGCGTGGACTCATCAGCACCTGCTCCTTCAGGCCTGGTGGTCCCCGTGCTTCCTACTGAGGTTGGAGAAAGTAATTTGGCCTAACTCCATTTTCGCCCCTCAGCCTCTATGCTTTGGCCCAGACACGCTGAAGAGTCACACGGAGATGACTCTTATTTGCTCATCGCACTGACTTAGCACTCACTCCAACAGCAGTCTGGCCACTGGGGTGGAAAAGGCTCAGAGGCAGGTTGACTGGAAGAGTATAGTATTGACTTAAGGTGTAGAGTATTGACTTTAGACTCCCAGCTTTGCCTCTCTGCTTCTCTGGGTTCCCATGTTGTGGAAGAAAGGATCTGTATTCAAGGGACTTTTATAATGATTGAGGCTTATTGTACTGGTGATTCTTGAGCATGTACTATGCGAAGACGTGGAGACATTCAACTACTCCTTGTGGAGCTGGAGTCTTGGTGTCCCCATGAATACGGCAAGCATACAATCTGGAAGATAGCCTGGTCTCTTCTTACTCTGACCATCTGTAGATTTAACCCTCCTTAAAAGGTGACGTGAAAGTCTAGCTAAGCAGTAGTGCCCTCGTCTCCTATAGGCAGAGGCTCCTCCCCGCTGCTGGCCTAAATGGTCTTAAAGTCAGGGTCCCATTGAAATTCTTTTTAATGTTGTGATTTAAATTCCCCAGCCCTTATCCTATTAACTCCTCTCTGAGCAACATTTAAATATCAAGTTAGTATATTTCCTCGAGCAGAAACTATGTGTGTGGGAGAGCAGGCAACAAGGAGAAGAGAGAAGACTGAGAGGCACTATTGGGTTTCAAGCAGGTGGTTGCCTCTGTGTCCTGATTCTAAATGCCATGACTCACCCCCAATCCCCCACCCCACCCCTACCCTCCTCATCCCTACCCCATCCCCCCCAGAAGAAAACAGGAGCTGACCTAAGCAGGAGAGGTACTGGTGCGGTGGTGAGAGCCCTTGGAGGGCACCACAACTGCTCTCAACCACCGGAGGATGTGCCGGGAGCTCACCAAGCAGCTGAACTTGTTGAGTTCTGCATTCTCGCTTTCCTCTGATCTGCAGAACAGAAATGAACGTTTGTACAAAGGCCAGACTTGTGGCAGCAGGCAATGACAAGCCAAGCCTGTTCCCCAAAGTGCCTGGCTGGCCAGCCGGCTCTGGCCTCTGTGCCTATCCAGGACTCTGTCTGTTATAGAGTGGTGATCTGTAGGGGGACAGCAAGAAGGGCAGAGAGGCTTGAGACAGAACCCAGACACTCTTTGAGAAGACAAAAGGGGAAAGAATATTAGCCATATGTCTGCCTCAGGGCAACAGCCTTACCCTGCAGGGGTTGGAAGTGTGCCACTCAGAGAATTCTGGATTCAGGGAACTTTATCCAAAAAAAAGCTTAAGAGTGGAGATCAGAGGGCTCAGAACTGGATGGGTGCCTTGGACCAGAAGTCATCTTGGGAGCCTTGAGCATTCACTGAGTGCAAAGTCCTAGACTGGCACTCTGGCAGGTGCCAGTTGGATCTGGATTGTCTAGCCCCAGGCTGTAGAGTGCTGCCCCCTGCTGGTGGTACTCCTGTGATCTTGAGACTCCCAGAGCATGCCAGCAAAGTCCTTCGAACTAAAACCTCGGGGTGATATCCTATGTACACGATCGCCCTCGTCCAGCCCCTGCTTATGGAAGCCAACATTCTATGACTGGAGTCACCAGCCAAGTTTCCTAATCCTGCCGTGAGTCCAGCCTCCCCGATGAGTCCTGATGCAGCCCCAGGAGCTTGTCCACCCAGACCAATAGAACCCTGGGGCTCGATTTGGGGCCTGCCTGCCTCAGCTATGAGTAAAACAGCTAATGGTGGTCAGGGGTTCTCAACAACAACAATATGGCTGACTTTTTTTTGGCTCTATGATTCCTCATTGAAGAAGTGTTCTGGATATTACAGGATTCTAGAAACTTCTCTGGTCCCTACTTACTAAATGCCAATAGGCCTCCCCTACCTCAACCTTCCCCCTGAAACACACACCAAGTTGTGATAATTAAAAATATCCTTCCCATATGTCTTTTCTGGAGGACAAAAATTTAATGAGGATCTCTGCTGTAAACCTGACCCTGCTTAATCTTCAGAGATGAAATGAAAATATTTATCAGCAGTCTATCACCAGCAGTAGGTCAGGCCAGACCTCCTGTTCGAAGCAGAGTGGAGTCAAAAGCAGTGTAAGAGGGTCACCAGAGGGTCAGAGCAGGGGCCTTTGGGATCAGGCAGGCGTTTCTCATCCTGGCTCTACTGCTGGCCAGGTGAATGGACTCACTAACTTTCTCCACACCTTGGCCTCCTCTTTTGAAGAGCAGGGATAACAATAACAGTAATGATCCCACCTACTTCGGTTGTTGCAAGGATCAAGTAAAACACGCGGACAGCAGTGACCTATTTTATAGTGAATATTAAAAAGGAAGCCCCACACAATGATGGCTAAGCCTCGTGGGGAAGGGGAACGCTCTGGTAGGAAGCCAGAGATGGCGGAGCAAACACAGGAAGCACCAGCCCCAGCGCCAGGACGAAGATGCCAGGCTGGCAGGTGTGACAGTGGGAGTAGGGGAGAGCCGGGTTCAAGGTCAGGCTCCGAGCCAGAGAATCGAGGCCAAGCGGCAACACCGTGTGGCATGCTGGCCTCTCAGCATCAGTGTAAGCAGCGCTCAGTCCAGGCTTCTCATGAGAGGGACTTGGGGAGCCTTTTAAATACGTTGGTACCCAGACTCCAGTCAACTCAAGTTCCTCAGCTCCCAAGTGACTCCAGTGAGCATCAAGACTTGAGGGCAGCCACTCTGGGTGAGGGCTTCTCAAGCTTAAACAGGCAAATAGACAAGTTGTCTGAGGACCCTCTCTGACTCAGTAGGTCAAGGGTGGGGCCTGACGGTCTGCATTTCTTTCCTTTTTAAAAGTTTTTTCCTTCTTTGTTAAGGGCAGCTTTTCCTTTTGTTAGCCGCTTTGGTTTATCCCCTGCCAGTCGCCTGGGCTCTGCCGTGCCAGCCTGGTTCTAGATCCGCATCAGTCCCAAATAAACACACAGGAGGCTATATTCATTATGAAGCTGTTGGCCTTGCTTGTCTCTTACTGGCTAGCTCTGCTTTAAGTAATTACCCCATAATTGTTAATCTAAGTATGTCTCTTACCGGAGAATAGTTCTGGGCTCCTACCCCCATGGCGGTTACATGTTGACTCTCTTGTCTTTCTCCTTCCCAGAGTTCTCCTGGACTCCTAGTCCCTCCTATCTAGGTTTCCTATAGGCTCAACAGTACTTTATTGACAAATGCACAGGACTTCCCCCAACACTTCTTATAATTTATTTATGTGTGTCTCATTTGTGTGTGAGAGAGTGAATGCCACCATGTTGGAGGAGGTCAAATAGGGATTTGGATCCCTGTGAGCCACCACGTAGGTCCTAAGAGTCAAGCCTGGGTTCTCTGTGAGCAGCAAGTGCTCTTAGCCACCGTGCCTTCCCTTCAACTCTGAGATTCCACATGCCTAACATGTTCCCTGGTGACAGTGATGACTATGGCCTGTGAGTCACACTTTGAATAGCAAGGAAGTCTGGTTCTCCACATCAAAGGGCCAACAGCATCAGCATCAGATGGGAACGTGATGGAAAGGCATGTTCTTAGACCTTACCCAGGAACCTTGGGATAAACCCCAGCTATCAGGCTTAGCAAGACCTCAGGTCATTCCGAGGCTGGTCCTCTTAGAAACTATGAAGCACAGGCTAGCTTCTGTGGTTTGGATGAAATCTGTGTATGAGCTAGTTCTGTCAACAGGGTTTAAAGACAGCGTAGAGGACCTTGGATAAGTGTGCCCAGCACCCATGTGTCATGTACCTCTCCCTCTGTCCAACTGTCAGGACGTCTGGCTCTGGCCTTGTGGAAGCCGGCCTCTCATGTCTTCTCTTTCCCTCGCCTTCACCCACCGTCTTCGTTCTACCATCCTCTGGCAACTGGCATCACTGCCCCTGAGAAGTGCCTATTGCAGTGTCACTCCTTACCCCATGGCCAAGTGACCTACAGTGGTGGCCTGGCTCACTCATAGAACTGGGCCACAATGGCTCAGGGAGAAGAGTCACAGAGTTAAAGGAAAAAGCCTCTTTTCCCCCTTGAAGAATTCTCATTATTGAAAAGAGAAGAGTGAAGAAACAGCACGTGGGAGGGGTCTGAGCTTATTAAATTTGCTTCCAATTTTCTTACCACAGTAATTGGATTCTGATTTATAGTATGCGTTTGGACAGCGCCTGGAACAGACAACTATTAGCTGAGCATTAGAGCAAGAGCTGCCAAGTGGGTTCTGTTGGGGTGAATTGCCTCTGAAGC